CATGGAGAGGGCTCCTGCATGCACGGCTGAGCCGGCAAGGGGCTGGGCACTGGCAGGTGCCCACTGCCTGCCAGACACTGTATTTACAGAGTCTGTCAGCCTTGTCTTTAAAGATGGGAGTTTCATTTACGTGGTTGATTGAAACAAGCTTGTATTTTCCAGACTTGGTCTGTATGGAGCACAAAACCCCGAGCCGTGAAGGTGCGGGAGCCCTGTCACAAGGCAGCAGACAGCTCTGGCACTCGGTGCTTGGCGCTGGCTCACAGCAGGAGATGCGCTGAATTAGCGGAGTGGTAGCGTTTTATGGCAATGTTTTGTTCTTCACTTGGCTGAGGTGTTTTTGTGAAACTAAAAAATGTCACCAAGCATCTTGTCTCTAACCTCAGTTTAGGTGTGCAACAGGGAATCCAGGTAGCACAAATTTAGGAAATCCTGCAAAAAAGTCTGGCAAGGAGGACAGCACAGACAGGAAGAGGAGCACACTTTGAGAGGAGAGGACGAATCAAAGGCAGCTTGCTCCACTGTTGCTGTTCAGTCACATAGCATGTACAGTCCTTAGCTGACATCAGGGCCAGTGCGGCATGCTGCCCCTACCCACCTGGGAAGAGACAGGCATAACCCCAGAGGAGCCCACAACCCAAAGCAGCAGGAAAGAAGAAGGACATGCAAAGTGATGTGGTCTGTGGTTAGGAAATGGAGGCACGGAGAGATTTCAGCACCTTATCAGGTAGTACAGGAAAATGATGGCAGAACTGGAAGCTGAATTTGGTGCATCCGAGTCCTGGGCCAGTGCCCTGACCACTGGACTGCACTACCCACTGCTCGACAGGGCGATGCAAAAAATAACCCGCACGTCCACTCTCCTCGTAAAATGCAGCAGCTTTCAATGGGGACAGATGGACACACAGGGCCAAATGCTTTCATAAGCATAATTTGTTTCGTGGTTCGGAAATGATTATACTCCAGTTTTCTTTTATCTTGGAATTGCCAATTCAATGCCTGATTGAAAGCTTTGAGACTTCTGAGGGCTGAGCTCCTACGTTACATTTATGAGAGATGCACGTGCAAACACTAGCAGCTAATCGCATGTACAAACGGATATCTCTTAGGCTGCTGTACATTTGTGTGTGCAAATAACTGCTTATACCAGCCCTTGGCCATAGGCGGCCATCTGTGTCCCCATTGAAAATGTTTGCATTTTTTGAGCAGTGTTAAGGAGATGACTGCCTCCTGCAAATGATTGCACCTGCCTGGCCAGCGACACATGGGATGCTCCTGAACCCCTGGCATATCTGGAGGGGTTCCTGCCTCTGCAAAGGGCAGTCCCCAGCCTGGCTGCACAGAGATGAAGATGCCCTGCTTCACTGCAGCCCTCCCTTGTCCCTCAGGGACTGATTTCTGGAGGAGCTCACTGCACTGGACACTATCAAATCCCTAAAGCACCTGCTGAGCACACCAGCAGATCTCCAGTTCCCAGGGCCTGCTGTCCCCAATGGGAGCCTCCCTGACCATGGTCAGGGACCCTGGTCGTGCTGCTTAACCCACACCAGCTGTACTGCAGGATGCAGCTGGAGCCATCAGCCTCTTGCAGGCTCACACCTGTGCAAAGTGCTGGATGGTGGCCCTGTGTTGAGCTCATGGGATTGCTTAAAGACACCTTTCATTGCCATGATGCTGGGTGATGGCTCCCATAGGTGCACTGTGCCCCTCCTGCCATGTGAGCGTGCACAGCTCCTGTCTCCTGCTCACACGGGCTGTCTGTGCTGGTGGGTGAAGTGCCACTGTTCTCAGACCTGCCAACGTGGAAACTGTCTCTTAGGGTGAGCTCAGCAGGGAGCAAGCCAGAGAAACGGAGGGTTTTCCACTAGCAACACTTTCACTGGAAAAGTGCATATCCTGAAATATGTATATGTTGCTTGCCTTTTTTTTCCTATATGGAGAGGATTAGGTTTGGTTTGGTTAGTCTTGTTTTTTTGTTTTGTTTCGTTTTGTGTTTATATTATTATTATTATAACAATCCAACATTCTTTTTTTTTATTATTATTCATAGGATTGTAAATGGAAAATGTACATGGAGATGGATGGGGATGAAATTGCAATAACCTACATAAAAGACGTGACATTCAACACTAACCTACCTGATGTAGAGATTTTAAAGATGACAAAGGTATTTACAGCCTTAAAGCTTTCACAAATTCACAGATCTCAAACAAAGACATTAAAATACCACAGCAGTCGACTTTTGTGCTTGTGGAAGCTCAGTCTCTTGACAGCTTTTAAATAAAATGCACATTTTAAACAGATTTGTATCATAATAGGAGCTAGGTATTTTGGTTCTCTTTTAAGCTGACAATAATGCTAACAATAGAAAAATAAGAGAAGGAAGTAATTTATATTTTCTTGTTTTAATTCCACGTTATGTCCTCTGAGTGTATTACCCCTTTTAAAGATAAGAATGTTCAAAAATTACTTTCCTTTTCAAGAAGAGAAAGTGATTTGAATGTTCTAATTTAAAACTTCATGTGATGTCTGTTTTTTTTCTCCCTTTTTTTTTTTTTTTGGACATGGTTTTAGAACTTTTACATGCTTCTAAATCACCCTATTTCATGCAATGATGGGTTCCAAAGACTGAAACCCATCAACATGTTGATCACAGGCAGTACAGCCCTGAACATCTGCAATTCAGTGTCACTGGGCATTTACCTTATTTCAGAACCTGCCTGTAAGTATTTACCAGCCAGCATTTAGACTGCTTTTACCATAACCAACGAAAGCTTTGTTAATGCACAGGACATTCTGTATATTGTTATTTTAATTGATTGTTTTTATTAATAAGCTCCACTTGATAATAGCTCCCGCAATAAATGAAAAAATATACAGCTCGATTACCAGTTAGAATGCTGCTCTAATGTGCACTGATTCAAAACAAAACCAAAACAACAAAAAAAAAAACACACTCCCGAATGCTTTTAACTGTGTATTATTTTTTTTTTGCCAGATTTTGTTTGTTTTCTGAAGGAACAACTAAAAAGCATACTCTCAACAGAATTTTAGGGAAAATATGAAAGTATGTGTCTTTGATAGAAAGGATTCTCATATTTAATTCTTGTTAGTACTATTGTTATGGTTAGTGATTTCTGGAGCTTCACTGTTGTGATTTTATTGTGGTTATTATTTCATTGCAAGATAGCTTTCTGCTTAATTTTCAGAACTTCCATCCTGACCATTTTACTAAAAAATAAAAGGCTTGAAGTTAAACAAAACAATCACCAGATACAATAAGATTAACTTTTAACATATTTCAACATTTTGTTGTCTGACAGGGACTATCTCCAAGAATCTTTAGGTATTTCTTCTTCCTGGTCTCTGGAAATCTACTACAAAAAAATTGAGCATGCATAAAAATGAAAAAGTGTGATTTACCATGAAAATATTCCATGTTGTCTTATTTACAGTCAGCTTTGGAAATCTCTTCTCAGTCTTCTTTTGTAAACAAGGAAGTAAAAAAAAAAATCAAAATATATTGCTTTGTCTCATAAAATTTTAAGAAAAAGTATTGGTGTTAACAATATGGAAAAGGTTGAAAAATGGCAAAAGTTGAAAATATCTTTGGGGTGTTTCAGCAAAAGGCCGGGAGATGAAAAGCACCTTGTAAAATTTCCACCATGTTTTTTTTAGCCCCCATTTGTTATGGAGAAATGGATTGTGGGGATGGAAGAACACCAGTCTGTAGAATATGTTGTTACATATGAGGTAAGTGCTAAGAAACAAACAAAAAAATGTTCATCCAAGATAAAACCTTCATGGGAGATGTGAAAATAGCATCCTCTGGCTCCTTTGTATCCTATAATCAAGTCTCATCACCCTGTAATTAATTGTAAAATCTAAAGTTTGGAGCAAAAGCTGAAAGAGGTTTACAGAGACTATGTCCTCAGGCAGCTGGTTGAAACAGCTCTTTTTCTCAAGGACAAAAACTCCTTTTGCTTGAGGTGTGATGGTCAGTGTGCTTGCATTACCTGGAAACTGTGTTATTTACCTTTACAGTGAAGTTCTTATTAAGAGAACTGAGGAGCAACAGGAGAAGAAAGAGAATGATAAGAGTAAAAAAAAAAAAAATAAAATCTAGAAGACAATTTAACCATGTGCTGTGATAGATATTAACCTGTTTAAAGAAAGTTTGTGGTTACTTACAAAAGTATTTTATGAAGACCAGTGCTGTGCTTCACACTGAGGCTAATAATCAAGATTCCAGCTCTGTCCTGAGCAAGGATTCAAACACTGATGGAGAGATGGGGAGGTCGTGGACCTTCTTGACTTGTCTCAGATATGAAGAACAGCAGTTTTCTGTTGCTGCCACAATAACCCTAGGTTCTTTCAGGCTGGAATTTCTCACAAGAGTCATAGGCCTGTAATTGAACTTGATACTCCAAAAAAGTTATTGTGGAGGATTCCCCTGCAAAAATACCTGCTGCTACTTTTAGCAGAAAGCATTGCCTGTGTGATATTCACATTAATATGACAAGTAAAATACATTTTTTTTGTATTTGTAGAGGAAGGCCTTCAGATCTTTCCTCCATATGGTACATGAATTGAAATACTTGTTCACTACCACATTTTTAGCATAATCATAAAATACTAGCCAAAATTATTCAGAGGCTAAAAATACATGAGAACTGTCTACATGATTTTGCAAAAAAAAACAAAACAAAAACCACTCTATATTCAAAGTGCTGTAGCTGCCCAGACACTAGTGGAAGCTCTCTGTGAGGAGAGCATAGTGGGTTGTGCATTGTTATGTCCTTGTGCCTTGTGTCCTCATGTGTGTTGTGTCCTTCTTGAGCAGAGCGACGTTAGAGCTCCCAAAACCACCAGGCATGTCCAAGCTATCCACTGGAGCAAGGTGAAAGTGCAGGATGAGGTCGAGGCAGTACAGCTCATAATACAGACCTCGCTCCCCAACTCGGAGGGGCATTCACGGAGCAGGTCTGACTCAAGTAAGTCACTACAAACAAAAATACTTCTTCTCTAAAACCCCAAATGCTTCACATCTTCTATTATTAAGCAGCTTTAAATACAACACATCAGTAATCCATGGGAACATGAAAATCTCCAGGTTTTAGTCGAAATAGTTAATCTGAATACTGGACAAAAAGTTTGCCCCAAGAGAAATGCCCCTTCTCTGCACAAATTTCAGCATATGAACGGTACCCTTGCTGCTGTGCAGCCCTAGGGAAGGTGCTCAGCTCCTGCTATCTCACAGGCTGGTTGTTCTATGCTCAGAGCTGCTGCGGTGCAACCCAGCTCCAGCTCAGGACCATACAGCTGCACCAGCGTAAAGCTGTCACCATGTGTCCACCAGCGAGGTGGGACTTACCGCCATGGATGCACTCATAACAGCTTTGGGACTGGACTGAGAGCACAGGTAGGATACTGTAATTATCTGTGTAGTTGTGCCCTGGATGAAGATGTGTTTCTTGATCAGAATGTCAGCAAAGCATCTGCTGGGAAAGAAGACAACCTCGTATGTCCCTACCCTCCATCTGTTGGGAAGAATGGAGTTTTCCATAGCCCTGTTGGGAATTTTGGAAGCCAGTGCTTTCAGCAACTTTTGTCTGAAGAGCATGCTGGCATTCTGTCCCAGCAATCCAAACTCAGCAGAAGTACTGCGGTCAGCTCTTTCCTCCTGCTCTTGGCCACCCAGCGTGCAGACAGCTTTGCACAAATGTGCTTGGATATGGGTGCCTCCTGGAAGAACTGGGTGGATGCCGATGACTCTTCCTGTGCGGCCAGCACTCTTGCAATGGGGGGGCATATACCAAGGCTGTAGCCTCAACTGCACATGGCGGGGGGGACAAGAAGTCCCCTCTAGATATTATGCTGTTTTGTTAAATGCTGCCAGCCTGGCAGACCCCACAGGCGCTCCTGATGGCCAGCTCTGCTGTAAAGAGGAGTGAAAATCTTCCCAATGAACTCTTTGTCCACAGCTCAACCTGCCTGTTTAGGCCTGCCCTAAGGTTTTTTTCTGACCCAGTTCACATTAGTTCTGTAGAAATGTTTGGGCTGGGGTAGCTGAGGGGCAGCATGGGAGCTATAACAAGATAGCAGTCAGCAGAGGGTGGATTTCTACAATTATGTAGCACTATCGCCACATGTAGAAGAGTGGCCTCATGAATTGTGTGCTGGTGGTGTAGACTACAGACACAAAATGGGTGTTCTTATTCCTAAGCAATTGTACCTTGATCCATTTGCAGCACAACTGTTTTGAAATGCAGGTGGGAAACTGCATATCCTGAAAGACACATCTTCACTGCAGATTAGCTATGGTCATCCAGGTTACTCTAGTTTTGGGGTGATGAGCCATACAGCCATACCCAAGTGTGGTGTTGTATCTTCACAGGTTGGCTCTGCTGCAGTAAGCCAAGCTGCTTTCATTTTTTTATGGCGAGTGGTGGGAGAGCTTGTCTGTCCCTCTGGCACTTGGAGGAGTTGCACGAAGTCACTAATGTATTGTCAGCACCCAAGTAAATAGGCACAGTTCAGAGGAGATGGGTTACCAGCCAATGTGAAAGCTGTGCCTCAGCTCTAGAAAATCTTCTGGCCTGTCTTCTTTACCAAACCACCTACCCCAGATTTAAAACACCACCAAATCCAAGCACAAAGGTAAGGGTAATACTAGTGTAAGAAGCTAAAATAACCACCAGTGAAGACACTACCCCAATGGGTTACTGAGTGGAGCATTTAATTCAGTGTTACAGAGTTGGTGGCTCAGAGACCATATGACGGAGAAGCCCACAGCCCATGAAAGGCTTGAAGAAAGGGGCAGTTCCACGGGTTGACACTGGGAGTCCCTGCTGGGCAGCTGGTCTCTGGGCCAGGCACCACAGGCAGCCATAAGAAGCAGGGACTTAGGGGGCCAAAGGGAAATGCTCATGCAGTGCTAGTGCTTGTCCCAAATGGTATGTGGTGGTCACCTGAGAACTGGTAGCAAACAGAAACCCAAAATTAAGTCCTGAGACAGCTGCTTCCAGATTTATGAGATCTGTGTATTACATCCAAAGTCTTGGTAGGAAGGTATGGGGGAATGGCAGAGATGACAACCTAGCAAGGACAGAGCTGCTACCCAGCTCCTGCAAAACTCCCCAGGCAGGTGCAGCATTGCAGTAAGGGGTAGAGGAGGAGGTCTTTCCTCTGGAGACGAGCAAAAAGCAAGAGAGGAAGTGGAGTCCTCCGCTGTGGATAATAAAATTTTGGTTGTGTTTATCCTGCTGCAAGCTGCCAGGGCCATGCTTTCTGATTGGAATGATATTAGCAATCTTTAAGAACAAATCATTTGAATCTCCCTAGAACAAAATTACATAAGCTACATTTTCTGCCTGAAGCTGGATAGAGGCTGTGGGGTGCAGCTGTGCCTTACTATGTGAAGTATGTGAAGTGGATTGACTTCTGAATTTGTAGTGATGATAACAAACAAAATGGCTCTGGCTATCATGGTGAGAAAATGGAGAGAGGGGAGGTGAGTCTGGCAACTTCAGCAGCGGTTTGCATTGCCTCAGTCATTGTGAACGGCATGGCCAGTGCTGGCTGGGAGTGATGCTGGGCAGAGGGCAACGCCACAGTGGTGCCAGTCCTGAAGGTGCCAGTCCATGGCTGTACTGGAGGTCTCCAGGCTCTTTTATTGTGAAAGCTGAGGAGGAATCTGCAGAGACTGCCAAGAACATCACAAAAATATTTAAAACCTGTTTGAGTTAAAAATGCTGGGAGGCACTTGGGAGTAGAAACCCAACTGAGCAGCCAAATGGATGGTCCAATAAGTATTTCTAGTCTAAGATCCATGATCTGCATGGGCATCAGATATACCTGCATCACTTAGTATTTTAAAAGTCCATAATGTTGAATATACTCAAAGCTAGAATTATTTTCTGCAAGGCTGGGAGGGAAATGTTGACTGGAGATACGTAATGTTCTCAGAGAGAGAAAACCTCCTACTTAACCTCATACACGATCTAGACCACGTTTTTCTATCACTTTGCACAAAGCTGACCTTGTTTTCCTTTACCTGCCAGGCATTGACAGCCAGTGGATGAAGACGCTGCGCATGCACCAGCTAGCCAAGGCCACGTCTCTCCAGCACGGCCACCCCCACAGCCCGACCTCCATGACACAGTACCTGCCCTACCTTCGGAGCCAGGACTCCTACGCCGCCGCAGTGAGGCGGACGCGCGGTCCCGTCAGCTACCAGTTCACCTCCATCAGCCACTCCAGGAACTCCTCTCCCCTCTCGCACAGTTTGATGAGAAACCTGTCAAATCTGCACCTCAACTCAAAGGGCAGCAGCACCTCCAGCACGGCCTCAGACACCGCTTCGGAGAGGGACAGGTCCACAGGCAAGGCGAGGAACGCCTCTCACAGTGGCAACTCCCGCAGCTCCTCTGATGGGCGGCACAGCGGGACGAGCTCCCCGGTGCCCCCCAGGACCTCAGGCAGGGCCTACAGGACCTCCTCGACACCCCCGGCCCCTGAGCACCGCAGGTATTCCCGCAACCCGCCCTGGCCCAAGGCCATCCCGGGCATGCCCCTGCAGGGCGAGAGCGAGCCCAGGAGAGGCGAAGGGGAGGGCAGGGTGAGCGAGGGAGGGTGGATAAAGGTGCAGAACACGAGGAAACCCTACAGGCAGAGCACCGGCAAGCCGGGTAGGGAGAGGCCCAGGGGGAGCTGGCGGGGCCGGAGGACGTTCTGAGGGGGGCATCAGCTGCGAGCTATGGCAGAGCCAGCTTCCTCTCTTATTTCACTGAACGCTCGACTGGGAGATGACACGTGCTTCTGCTCGACGTGCTCCAGCTCTCAGCACACTGCACTGAAGCCACGACACTACCTCGCTGGGCCGGCCAGCTGCACGGCACCACGCAGTGCCAGACGGTGGACGGGAGGAACTGCCACACCTGCCCTCGGCACAGTGGATCTCTTCCCTCCCAGTACTGACAAATTTAGTCTGGTTGCATCCCCTCCCTTCAGCTGCTCATGTTCTTAGCTGACTGGATATGCACTAATTTGCTTATTATTTCAATAATAAAATCAGTAAGACACAGCCACGTGCCATAATGAAAAGCTCTCCGTTTCATCTGTAGAAAAGGAGTTGTGCTGTTCCCTCTCCCCTCCTTGCTTCTTTCTCTTGATGTTGAGCCTGTCTCTGAGCACAGTTTCCACATACTTTATTCAATCTTCTTCTGCCAGGGCTATAGAAGGAGGTAATATTTTTGTCAGACCATCATAATCAGACGAAACAGGAACACAAAGATTTTTCTTCAGGTCCACTCCAGTAACTTCACTTCTCCACTTCCAGCATGTCATCCCCTTTCAGGGTTTTCTCACCTCTCCCTTTGTTAAAACCCAGACATCAGGTATCTGACACCACAGAGCAGACACTGTGACACACACAGTTGTCATAATCAGAAGGAGAAAAAAAAAGGTTTTAATGTTTTTGAAAAAAAAGAAAGAGGGTGGGAGAACAAGACATTGCCTTTATAATAGATACATCTACCCCCTCTGAGATCTATGATAATGTTTATCCCTGGGCAGCAGGCGTTTTTTAATTGAATTTTTAAATGTGGCCAGGCTGCGTTACTTTTGTCTTTCAGTCTTCGGGTAGTAAAGACAAGGTCAGCAAAGTTTGTGATTAATGTGGTCTTTAGCTCCACTGAGAACAAAGACACAGTTGTAGACTCACTTGTCTTCAGAAAGTTCCTTGTTGGCCTTTTCACTCCAAGTTGATTTCACACAATTAAACAGGGAAAAAAAAAAAAAAAGTAAAAAAAAAAAAAAAAGTTAGGGTTTCCCAAGAGACTAGAGGTAAAAAAAAATAAAAGGAAGAAACAGATAAAGGAAGATGAACCCAAAGCAATGCATGATACTCTCTGAAAGGCAAGTAAATTAGAGATGACTTTGAATGATCTACTAGATCACCATCCATGCCAAGCAATGCTCACAGGCATGCAACTGCAAGCAATGCTGGAGGATGCCAGTGTGTCACCCTTGAAGGGCTCCCATCAGCCACTGCCACATCACTGGACAGTCAAAAGGTCATGTAAATTCCCTGCCTCGCACGAATGTCACACAGGGGTACATGTATTTCACCTCTTTCTGATTCTCAGCAGCCCTGATGACAGCTGGGCCCCACGATGAGTTTTCCAATACCTGGTTTACTGAATCTGACAACTAATTTGGCAGATGTGGAAAATCTACCGCTGGACACTATGCAGCAGGAGACTGGGATTTTGTCTAGGTCAGGAGATCTAACATTTCTTACCATGAGCAAGAAGGTCTGTAGGATACCAGCTGACAGTAACCACACCTGAAAGTACTTGCTATAAACATGCTCATGTTATTAAAATTTGGAGATGCACCTCAGGAATTGAGATCTTATTTAATGGTTGGGCCAGCACAAATTGTAGAAAGAAATTGCAAGTTTTGGAAGGGTACCTTTCACTTCCAGGGTGATGAGGATGGTGGTGTAGTTGCACAAGCCTAAGAACAAGAACAAGGCCCTACTCAGCAGACACTGTGGGCTGGTGGTGGCAATTCAAGATTTATCAGCTGCCTGTGGTTGATTGTCAAGATGTCCAGAAGGATTGTGCTGCTGTTTGTAAGCAATTTAATGCTGTGCCTAATTTTAATCTACAGTGTACTGTCTGTCCACATCTGTTGTATTAAAGTGTTCATTAGCATTTAAAGGAGGAGCGGATGGTATTGATCACGCCTTTTAAAATTAAACAGTCATGCAATAGTGACTGATTAGAAATCCTCTTGCTGCACCAGAATTGCTGGTTAGGGCAACAGTAAGTGATCTTGTGGAAAAAAAAAAAAATCTTCATACCTAGTGTGTGCCTCAAACCATAGCACCAAAGCTGTTTTTGTATTAAAACAGCAGTAAATAAATCACTCAGTGACAATTTTTGAAATTCCTAAAAACCCTCATATTGGAATATATTTGCATGCACTTCCTGCTTCAAGTGTGAACACTTTATTTTAAATTACAAAATACACTTCATATATTCTCCCATATACAGTCTTTCCCCTTAGCCCCGCTCAAGTGAAAAAGTCTCTGCAAGATCTAGTTTTACACCTTACCACTCTCACCATGTCTAGTCCCTGACTTGGTAATAATTCATTATAAGGCAAAATGTGCTTACATTTTCACTCCTAGTACCTTGTGAAACTGAGGAATTTATAGCCATGTTTTACTACCATGCGGCCACTGCTGGCTAGAAGACCATGCACAGCGATATGGAAA